CGGGTCCAGACCTGCTTCCGAGTTTTGACAGGTCCCTGACCCGCACCAGAGCAGTTCAGCTGAGTTGGGACTGTGGGGTTGTTTATGTGTCTTTGTGTTAGTGTGTGAGCCAGGCTGGGCTCGACTAAGATGGTGGGTGTTTTTCATCAGACTAATGAAAACTACGTCTGAGCTGAGAGAAGAGTATCAAGAGAGAGGAGAGAGGAGGAGAAAGCAGAGGGAAGCTGCTGGAAGGAGTAATGACTATCAGATGGTGCTCAACTACTGTGCTGCTGCTGCTGCTGTGTCTTTAAAAGACAACACTGCTCAATTTGAAAATTCACATACATGATTATTGTTCTCTGAACTGTGCAATCACCATTATGAAAACAAACAACTCAGTCCCAGAGTAGGATGATAACCTTCTGGACCTACAGAAGGGTCAAGATATGTCTCAAAATACGAGCGGACTGATTTCCTCTTTGCCTTCTTGTACACCAAAAATCATAGTTTCAGCTCACAGTTCCTCAAATAAACTATGCAAATCTGTCCCATTTTCACATCTAAACATTGTTTAGGACCTACTGTGCATCACCTTTTATTTTAAAACTACCATCTATATACAGAATTTAGTCTATATAACTTTTTAGGAATGCAGAGAACATTGAGAACACTTGTAACCAAAGTAATTTGAATGGCAAATGCATGAATAATGGAAACTATTTTGTAATGCAGCCTCTGAACAAAGGTCCATTCACCAAAAGCTGAATGAAACCATATCCATCATCATCATCAACACATGCATATTTTCACCTAATGCAAGAATGATTAGCCTCTATCTGTGCATTGTTTTTATGGTTTACACACAATTTTAGATAGTAAATTTAGCCTAAAATTAAGGTAATTTGAAATGCAGTCCATCTAATTGCTTCACATATACTCTATAACCAGTGCTCTGTATGAGGCACATTTGATATGACTATCTAAAATCCAGAGTCTGTGTTGTGCACGTACGTCAATATTTTACATAGCTTTTATGTAAATGTCACAATTATTGTTGTAATGTAGCTATTTCCTTTTCACACCATATTCTTCCTTCAGCCATGTGCAGTTATGAAAAGACTTATAGTCTACATTATACCCTTGTAATGTTTTCTGGCCTGCGGGCAGTGATTCAGGGAGAAATGGATACTGTGTAAGACCAGCCACACGCTCCCTGAAGACGCAAATCAGAGGACGATCATGCTAATGCATGTAATACTGGACCACAGTGAAGCTGGTTTAGAGGCAAATCTCCATATTTGGTGGCCACTCAAAAATATACAGCAGACTAAACGCAGTCTGACAGTCACAAATCAAGACATTTGGGTAGAAATCTAAATGTAGATTTTTCATTAAATTCTTTAGACCTTCCTCATGTCTAATCAGTTCCTTAGCAGCATCTTCTAGCTCTATCCACTGCAAAATATGATTGTCATCTGAAGATGTCCAGCTGATTTTACTATATGAGAATCATTTTATGTCAGTTAACAATAATACATTAAAGTTCAGCTTCATACTGTATCTGCATTTATTTCTCAGGTTAGCTCTGTTATTGTGGGCTGATCTGTTGCTCCAAATCTTCTTAATAAATACAATTGATTGGCCTATTGATTGGCCACTCCCTGAATGCTATAGATTTTTTTTTGGTTTGCTATTTAAAAGAGAGAACAGATTAAAAAAGATAAGGCATTCATTAGACTCACAACTTGTTTTGTTCAGCAAGATAACTGTCACATGTGAACACCACTTTTATGATTTTTGAAGCCCAAATACCATCGCCAGAAGTAAAACGCTATTGTTGGGCTATAATGAACTACAGAACAGTCCCATGACTTCACCATCATCACCACAGCTTCCAGCATGTAACATGATTTGACGTGGTTACCTCTTCTACAAAATCGTTTCCTCTATGCAAGACCTGATCTAGCTAGTGATCATGGCTGTGACAGAGTAGTTTGCAAGTGTGCACATATAAATACAGCAAGGCTGTACAGGCAGACTAGTGAGTAGATTAGTCTGTGTTCAACGTGCTGATGTGTAATATCCCAGATAGCCTCTGTAGTCTCATTTAGCCACTTGTTATCAACCACCTTTTATAATACACGTAAAAGCATAAAAAATCACAAGCTGGGTATTTACTGACATATTTTATGTCACAGAACAAAACATGAAAGTGTACAGGCCTTGTTCTAACCACAGCAGGCATCTCACCAAAAAGCCACTAAAAACCCAGTGACTTCAGGGAGAGGGAACCAGAAGTACATACTGTAAATGCTACCCCAGTTTTGGTCTTTAGGACTCACTACTATGGCACTCTGTAAGAGCAGAAATAGCAGCTATTGGTTCCAGTTCGCCCACTGAGGTGAGGCCCAGGTGTGGGACACTGATCTACCTGGGCACTGGTTGAAGTTAGTGCTCTCACTATAATGTAGACCCAGTCTCCACCTCAGATGCTCAGAGTTGGCAGCCAGTCAACAGTTTTCACACAAACATTTGATATTCATTGCAGGAGTATAGACAACAGTTTAAAAAGATTAACTTTTTTTTTTGCTTGTTTTCATTGAATTCTGAAGATCTGAAGTGACAGAATTTGGTGATCTATGCAAACATTAGTACAGCAACAGCAAATGTTGCTTTGTCTGATTGCACCTACAGGGGCAAACCCACCGAGTGTCAAACCCTAACCAAACCATCTCTGTTTTCTTTATAAGCCAAGTACTTCTGACATCATGGAGAAAGGCCATGTTGTTTTTATGGTTTGATTCCCATCAGTAGCCCACACATCTTTATTGCTCCAAGCAATTCCTGTACAAGACGAGTACAGCTGCACCACTGCAAACAGCGGTGGCCTCCGTTCATACAGTCAGTACCAGAGCCTGAACACTGTTGCTGTGATTGAAGCATAGAGAGAAAAAGACCAAAACAAAGAGAAATAAATGCTGACTGAAACATTGTGTAACTCTGACAGATTATTCATTGTGCTGTTGGTTTCAGTAGTGGCTTACCATTGCCAATACACACAAAAGAACTACTGAGGATTAGAGACATTATGGTTGAGTTTTACAAAGGTTGTCAAACTTCAACCATTGTACATTTAAAGCAAGAAGCAAAGTTTAAAGGTCAGTCAGTTCCCTGGAAATAAGAGTTAAGTTGTATGATCATGGCTAATAAAAATCCCCAAAACATTAAGTAGGACAAGCAGATTAGAAGCTGATGAAGGCTCTATAATGCTTTCAGTAAAATCTGAGGGAGAGCTGAATTTTTCAAACTGCTACAACATGTTTGTTTTGCCACTCATTAGATTTCTCCCACTTTTCTCTTTTCCCCTCTTGTCTTTGGTCCCTTTACTGTCTCTTCTCATTTTTCTTCTCTTTCCAAGGAAGACAGATTGTTTAAGGGAGTGTAAGTGAATAAAGTAGCAGCTCCCTCAATACAAACCCCTGAACCTCCTGTTCATCACCCAAAAACTCCATACTAAAAGTCTGACTCCCTTGAGATAATGCTATTTGCAGACCCTCCAGAGAAACATCTTCCCTAAACAAATGGTTCTGGCCATGACTGAACAGACCCAGTTAACTGCTTCAGGCACTAGTCCAGCCCAGACTGTCAGCTACAGTACCATGGCTGAGGCTGCCTGCCTCCCAGCCTGCCGTCCAGGGCCAAACACGGCACACAGGGGAAGGCCGAGGGAAGAAAAGAAGACGCAAGGAGAAAGGCAGACTCTTACTTCACCTCTCAAGCGTCTCAGCCTCATGCTGTCAAGAAAGTAGGTGAAGAAAACATCCATTCTTTACAAACCCAGGTCCCACTTTTTCTTCTTGCAGGTTACTGGTTCTGTCAGAGACCTGGAAAAAGACAAAGTCACCTACTATAGAAAGACAGGAAAAAAGAATATAATGCTTTTTTTGTCTGCTGATCAATGTTAAAACCTGAAAACATGAAGAATATGAAATTATATTCAGTGATTTGTTCATAGATACAGTATTTTGTTATGTGAAGAACTGACCCCGCACAAATGTCTTTGGAACAAGGTCAAGGCTCTATTATTTCTGTCAGATCATATCATTTTGTCTGTGTTTCATTTCAAATTCAAGTCCCCAGCTAAAAAAGTAAGCATGTACTGTATACAGTATTGATGCTGACTGGACTGCAAGTTTCTGAAGGATCCAAGCTTCTAGGGTCACTGGACCCACCTAGAGGGTGCTGCAACTTCTGTTTTATGGTGGAAACACTCCAGCCAAAACAAACTCCTGCTGATGGTTTACGTCTTGCCACTGGTTGCTCTGGCCTGCTTCTAGACAGCAGCTGAGGGATTCTTGCTGCTCAGAGGGAGGAGCAGGGAGTCCCCTGGCCCTCCCACCGGCTATAAGACCAGAAGCAGACGGAAACACTCAGACAGCAGGAACACGTGGAGCAAAGAGGCAGAGAGGGAGAAGGACAAAAGAGAGACCAATAGAGAGCAAGAGAGCCAAACCGCTGCCACAGACTGGGAGTAATTTTTGCAACTGGAACTGAAACAGACAAATATAGAAAGGACCAAGAAAGCATCTTGGAGAAGGAAAAGAGGGCAAATCAGCAACCGCTTGACTTCAGCATGTCATTATAAATTTTCTTCCAAAGGATTGACTGAAGCAGTAGTTGACCTTTGACCTGGGAAGTGTTTTTGTATAAATCTAAAGAAAAACAAGAGGCTCCTGGAACCTGCATCCACCTGTGACACAACAGCTCTGATGTCAAGTCACTCTTGACTGCTGACTGCAAGTTACTCATCTTTTGATCCAAACCTAACTCAGCATCATAAGGACAACACCGGACTCACCTGGCTTTACAAAATTTTCAAAAAACTGAGAAGTTGGGGGTAAAGTAACTAGCAGAGGTGGACGCCTTCAGTCAGCAGCCTCAACAGAAACGTCCAATTACCTCAACAAGTGGACGTCTTACCAGGATTTCCCAGGAACCATCGGACTGGTGCGGAGAAGATGACGTTCGCCATGCTGCGCACGGCACCACCTGCAGGCCGCTTCCTGTACGGCGACATCGCACTGCTGTCCGAAGATGACGATGACAACGGTAGTGAGGGGTCAGGCTCTGAGGAGCGTACCACCAACTCCTCCAACTCCGCTGCCTTCCGCCTGTCCTCCTCGTCCCCGTCTGCCTTTCACATCAAGGTGAACAGGAAGAGGAAGCTGTGCGGGGGAGGGGGCGGGGGGGTGGGG